AGGCACTGGACGTAGAATGCGGCTGGAGAAGAGGAAACTCAAGGCTCAATCACTGACTGTCCACTGACTGCTTCTAAACAGGGGATACCTGAGAAGGTGGGTGCCTCGGCTCCCCATCTCCTCTCCCTTTCCCTCCTGCTTCCATCAGTTTCCATGTACTTTCCTTCTTCCCTACTTTAGTGTTTCGATGGTGCTTTCTGATGAGGGAAGAGCGCTCCTAGCTGTGGAGCTAGGATAAAATTAAAAGTGTAGGTAAATCACTTTTGCTCTCTGTGGAGGAAGAAGGCAGAGCTGCCACAGTTGCTGGACTCTGCGTCTCTTTTTGTAGGTTTCTTTTTTTTCAGAAAGGAAGGGCGGGAGCAGAGCAGTGCACGACTGTTTCCTTATTTCCAGTGTGACAACAGTGCCATCATGTGGAATGTGTTTCCTTTATCCTTGCGCATGTACACACCGCTTCCTCGAGCCTATTTCTGGCCATTTTTGAAAGTTGGGGTCAAAATGATTCTCAAATGGCCAAGTGGAGCCTCCTTCCGTACTCTACTTTTTCTTTGTGAAGGCTGACTAGAATCATGGGATCCTTCAGAGTCTTAATGTAGACCCTAGTGACTGAGGGCCCAGATACTGTCATGTAGTCCAGGAACAGGAAGTGGAGGGGTGGGGTTTGCACTGCTCTGCTGAATCAACTATCTTGTGTCTTAGGGCAGGATGCTGCTTCCTTCTTCATGTTCTGGTGAGAAAACGAATGGTTTGTTTCTGTTGGGGCCTGAGAAGATGAGAAAGGCCAACGAGGCATCTACAGTTCTAGCTGTTTTGTAATCTCCATCTTCCATCATGGCTAAGAATCATGGGAAGGAAGTTCATTGGTGCTGTGAGTTGTGAAACTCCATCCGGATGATGGCAGTAGAGCTCAATGAAAAAGCTAGTGAGTGCTTATTTCCCCGCCTTTTCTGTTTGGAAAAACGCTACCCTGACACAAAGGTCCCATAAAAGATGTCTGCCTGGAGTTTTGCCTAGCTCTGAAGATTATGTCTTGTTTTCTGCATTTATCTAAATTGAAGGTCAAATTTAGCCAAGGCTGTAGGAATGTTTCTCTTCTTTTATGGAAGATGTTTCCCATTTCATTCTTTTTCACCTTTTCAGCTTCTTAGCATTATTAAAATTTTCGGTACTGTTTTCTCTGAGCTTCAGAAGGAAAGTAATATGACATGAATCCATGCAGACCAATGGCTCTTCAGAAGTGGTCCAATAATTGGGTTTTATGCCCTAAGGCCTGGTTTTGAGCCTCAATTCTGACTGCCCTTAGTTTTCCTATGTTGCAATAGTTTTAGTAGTATTTATTTTTGTCTTATTTTGCATGTGAAATCAATCTAAGGCATAACTGTAGTCATTCTCTTCCAACTCTTTTTCTTGTGTTATGTAGAATATTCCTATTTCCTTGTTTAAACTGTTCATTTTCACCCGTTTTATGTACTTAATGGTGTCCTTAAAGGTTATGCAATATTTATTTGCTTTAATTCTCACACAATAAAGAGGGGTTTAGAAACAAATTTAACCTCCCCTCCCTCCCTCTCCCCTTCCTTTTGACCCTCTCCTATGGTCCCCACGCTCCCAACTTACTCAGGAGATCTTTTCTTTTTCTACGTTCCATGTAGATTAGATCCATATATGTCTATCTTAAGGTTCTCATTGTTGCCTAGGTTCTCTGGGATTGTGGTTTGTAGGTTGTTATTCTTGCTTTATCTCTAAAAGCCACTTATTAGTGAATACATATGCTCTTTCTGGATCTGGGTTACCTCACACAATATGATGTTTTCTAGCTCCATCCATCTGCCTGCAAACTGTATTGCTGGGTCTTGAGGAAGCTTATTTCCTAATTTTCTGAGAAACTGCCAAACTGAAATTTCCAAAGTACCTGTACACTCCCACCAGCAATGCAGGAGAGTTCCTTTTACCCCAATATTCTCCAGCATAATGTGTCATCAGTGATTTTAGTCTTGGCCATTCTTACAGGTGTAAGATAGAATCTCAGAATTGTTTTGAGTGTCTTTCAGTCATTTGGGATTCATCTATTGAGAGTTCTCTGTTTAGGTCTGTACCCTATTTTTTTTATTCGATTATTTGTTCTTTTGATGGTTTCTTGAGTTCTTTGTATATATTTTTAGACCAGCCCTCTGTCTAATGTGGGGTTGGTGAAGATCTTCTCCCAATCAGTAGGTTGCCTTTTTGTCTTCATGACAGTGTCCTTTGCTTTACAGAAGCTTTTCAGTTTCAGGAGGTCCCATTTATTAATTGTTTCTCTTAGTGTCTGTGCTGCTGGGATTATATTTAGGAAGTGGTCTCCTGTGCCAATGCATTCAAATGTACTTCCCACTTTCTCTTCTATAAGGTTCAGTGTGGCTAGCTTTATGTTGAGGTCTTTGATCCATTTGGACTTGAGTTTTGTGCATGGTGATAGATATGCATTTATTTTCATTCTTCTACATGTTGATATCCAGTTATGCCAGCACCATTTGTTAAATATACTTTCTTCTTTCTATTTTATGTTTTTGTGCTTCTTTGTCAAAAATCAGGTGTTCGAAAGTATATGGATTAATATCCGGGTTTTCTATTCGGTTCTATTGGCCCTCCTGTTTGTTTTTATGCTGATACCAGTCTGTTTTCAGTACTGTAGCTCTGAAGTAGAGTTTGAAGTCGGGTTGTGATGCCTCCAGAAGTTTCTTTATTATACAGGATTGTTTTGACTATCCTGGGTTTTTTGCTTTTCTATATGAAGCTGAGTATTGTTCTTTCAAGGTCTGTGTAGAATTTTGACTATAGATTGCTTTTGGTAAGATTGCCACTTTTTACTGTGTTAATTCTATATACCCAAGAGCATGGGAGATCTTTCCATCTCTTCATTTTTTTTTTCCTTCAAAGTTTTAAAGTTCTTGTCATAGTGGTCTTTCTCTTGTTTGGTTGGTGTTAGCCCAAGGTATTTTATGTTATGCTATGTTTGTGGCTATTGTGAGGCATGATGTTTCTGATTTCTTTCTTGGTCCATTTATCATCTGTATAAAGGTAGGCTATTGTTATGTTTTTTTTTTTTTTTTTTTTTTTTTTAGTTAATCTTGTGTCCTGCTACATTACAGAAGCTGTTGATGAGTTGTACAAGTTCCTTGGTAGAATTTTTGGGATCACCGAAATATACTATCATATCGACTGTGAATAGTGAGAGTTTGACTTTTCTGATTTGTATTCCCTTGATCTCCTTTTGTTGTCTTATTGCTCTACTCTAGCTAGGACCTCAAGAGAGAGTGGACAACCTTGTCTTGTTGCTGATTTCAGTGGGATCGCTAGGAGTTTCCATTTAGTTTGATGTTGGCTATTGGTTTGCTGTATATTGCCTTTATTATGTTTAGGTATGTTTCTTGTATCTCTGATCTCTCCAAGATCTTTATCATGAAGGGATGTTGTATTTTGTTGAAGGCTTTTTCATACTTGCCTTGATTTATGATTTTGTTCTGTAAAGCTATAAAAATCCTGTGAAACTGCTTCCACGTTGGAACATAGAATCTGGAACAAACTCAAATCTATGTTCACAGGCCACTGTCACTCAGAATGGCTCCAGAAAAAAACTATCTCTTGTTCCCTTTAAGATGGGAGTTGTGTGTCAGAGCTGGGCAGTGCTGGTCACATCTCTAATCCCAGCACTTGGGTAGTAGAACCAGGCCGATCTCCTTGAGTTTGAGGCCAGCCTGGTCTACAAGAGCTAGTTCCAGGACAGGCTCCATAGATACAGAGAAACCCTGTCTTGGGGAAAAAAGAAAAAGATGGTAGTTGTGTAGTTTATGGTGGCATAAACATGTCATCTCAGCACTTAGGGAGGTTAAAATAGTTGAGTCCTTGTAATTTGAGGTTCACCTGAACTAATTTAGGGATAAATAAGTCCCAGCTCTTGTCTGGGTCTGGCATTCCACCTAATCTTTACATATATCTGTTTCAAAAGAAAAAGGGCTGAGTGTGTATCTCTGTGGTAGAGTATTTGATTGTTTTGTTAGAGGCACTAGACTCAATCCTCAGTATCAAAAAGGGAATAAAGATGTAAAAATCAAGGGTTGCTGATGTAACTCATTGGTGAGACTTGATTGTAAGACTGTTTCTTTAAATTAATAAAGGGCCTAGATTAATTCTTCCAGGCTCAGTACCACAAACTGACCAGGTGTGTGTGTGGGGGGGCACACGATCACTGGAAGACTGGAAGTGCTTGAATATACATAAAGGAACAAGTAAAAAGCTCTTGGATTTGTGATTTTGTTTACAGATGTTCCCAGGGTTCAAGTGCTTTCCTTTTACTTTTTCCTTACTGGATAAATATCACCGAGTTAATTATGCCTGAATGCACAGCAATGGAGAGAGAATTTATCTAGGCAAAAGATGATGATAGGTGGTTTTCGTTCTTTGGCTTGGATTAGGAAAAGCAAAAGTAAAATGGTGGCTTTGTAAGCTAGCTCACTAACTCACAAAATGGTTGACAGGCATTTCTCTTTCTCTTTGTTCTTTTTTTTTTCCAGACCAAATGGGCGGGAGAAGAGGATGCAAGATGGCGCCAATGAGCTTACATAGAGCACTACTGCCCTCTAGAGGCCTCAGTTTTAACAGATGGAGCACAGTCAAAGTTTCTTTCCCATAAGCCCGAGCCAGGAAGAGGACTGGCTGCCAAACTGAAGCTGAGTGTGTTCTAGACTGGGCTACACTAGAAAACAGGTATACCCTGGAAGCTGATGCAACTCCTCATAGAACCTGGAGATCTGGAGATCCCAGGTTGGGATACGGAAAGTGTGTTCTATCAAGTTTGGACTTGAGAACTGGAAAAAACTCAAAAGACAAATGCAAACTCTCCACAGTCTAGATGTTTTCTGGGCTAGAGAGTGAGATTTTGTGTCAAAGAATTTAATGCAGGCTGGGTGGTGGTGGTTTTTGCTTTTAATCCCAGCACTCGGGAGGCAGAGGCAGACAGATCTGTGTGTGTTCGAGTCCAGCCTGGGCTATAAGAGCTAGTTTCAGTACAGGCTCCAAAGCTACAAGAGAAACCCTGTCTCAAAAAAACTTAAGGCAGTCTTATGGGGAATGGCCATGACAGGTGTGGAAGGGTGTGTTTGTGTGTAGGAAGGGAGTGTGTGGAGGGCATGGGTAGGTGTGTGTGTATAGATGGGGTAGGGGGGGATGTTCTAAGGTATGTAGGAGACAGAGAGTGTAGATTCAGTTTGAGCCTTAAAATGAACATTTTTTTTTACAGAAATATAATAGGTAATCCTAAATTTCACTTAGAATTTGAAGATGAGTAATTGATAGTTGAGATTTTCATATGTGAAAATATTATATCAACTAAAATACAGAAATATGTTAATATAAGTCTATACCCACAGTTAAGGAGATGCCTGAATTTGAGTTATGCATCTGTTATGTTGCTGTTATGTTGTCTGTCAGTGTTTAAGATTGTTTGTTTGAATGTTTCTGGGAAACATGCATATCCATTTTAAGAACTAAACAGATGGTAACAAATAGTGATTGTATAAGAATGGAGTAGATATATGCACTGAAAGCTCTCAGGGCACACACATCTGGGTGACTGAATTAAGTTGCACTTTTAACCATTTGATGCTTTTTAAAAATGTTTTTGAAAGATACAGTTTGCTTTTTCTATTTTTGAACAGACACTTTGTAGTCCAGCACTCACCATCTTGAACCTGAAGGGTCCACGAATAAGAATATAAAAATGTAGATTCCAGAAATAAGAATGTAAAAGTAAAGAAATATAAAGTTTTAAGCCTAGGAAAATGAAAGCAGGCTGTCAGCTTCTTAAGGATTAACAATTAACAAAGGGTTGCTCGGCTTTACAAATGGCTACTTTGTCTACAAGAGTGAAGCATCCAGTGAAGCATCCCTCTACAAACTGAGGGTCAGCTTGGCAAACTGATTGTTGGGGAATGCAGACCCTCAGACCCTGAACTTTCTATGACCCCTTGCCTGCCTGAGTGAACAACTTGTTTTCCTATGCTTGCAGCATGAGTTCCTGATGTCAGGGGAGTAGTTTCTTGTGGGCTTACAGCTGAAAAATCCCTAGAGCTAGGGCGTCAAGGAGACTACTATATAAGCTGTCCTGGAATACAATAAAATTGGCATTTTTGTTTCAAGAGTGACTCATGTCTCTGTGTGTTTCTTAATCCCCAGACCCTTGCCTGACCACAGTTCCATGACCAGACCACAGTTCCATGACTCATGACCAGAAATTGATGCGAGCTGAGTTAACTTTTAAATGATGGGATGTACATGGCTTTTGACTTTTTGGTTGTGCATTTTTCCATACCCTTCCCTGCTTTGTGAAACTGGCAGTATCAGGGGAGATGTAGAGCCTTGGTAAACACTATCAAGGGATACCAGGGAAAACAATAAATTAAGTACAAACACTAGTTTAACTGAAAAACGGTTAGTGGAAATTGCAAGGAAGGGCAATTTGTATCTGAGTTTTACCTTGATTGCAAAAATTCTTTTGTTGTCTAATGCTTGCTATAAAAGGAGCTCAAAAACCAATCCTCTGCCACAACCTTATAAAAATCCATCTCTGGCTGTGCTCTCGGCTAGCTGATAAGATTTTGTGACCTAGGGAGATTTTTTTCCTGGAATATGGCTTCTGGAATAAAGTTCGCTTCTTCTTTATTAGACTTTCCTGGTCTGTCCCCATTTTTGTGTGACCCCCGTGGACCCAACAAACCCACTTCTCTGATGCATTGGACATATTTGAAAGTTGTCTTGATTATGACTTTCTTTGTTCTATAAGACTATTTTTTAAAAAAAAGCCTGTGAAACTGGGTCGTGGTCACTCAGAATGGCTCAAGATTAAAAATAAAAAGATATCTTATTTCCTTTAAGATGATAGCTGTGATTTTTACATCAACATCAGAAGCTGCCCAGAAATTAGAACTTTTTAGAGGTAAAATACAATGTAATTAAGTTAAAAAAAAAAAAGAAAACGGAATACCAGCCTGATTCCTGGGTGCCAAAGGACTAACTAGTACCTAGGTCAGAATATGAAGAATACTTGGAAGTAAATCTGGATGAGAGCCATGATTTGTTTTCTCTAATCCTGTAATCCTGTGGTTAAGCATTTCCTCTTCCCTCCTAGGTCTGGATCCTCTAGGTTTGTTCCCAGAACCACCATAAAATCTGATGATATATAGAAGCTTTTGGGATAGAAGGCTGCTGCTTGCTTGGTCGTGTGGATACTGACTTCTTCGAAAAGATGGTTCTAGATTAGTGGGTGCCTAGGTCTCAATTCTTTTTTTTTTTTTTCCATAGTTTTGGTACTGGGATAAAATTCTAGCGTTTCCTAATATATCTAATTTGCTAACATATCCTAATTTGGTATGGATACCAAATGGAAATCAAACGGCAAATTCTTAGATAAACTCATCCTTTTTCAGATTGAGAAAAAAAGGTTCTCTTGTGTGTGTGTGTGTGTGTGTGTGTGTGTGTGTGTGTGTGTGTGTGT